CCCCAAAACCCCAAAACCCCAAAACCCCAAAACCCCGATATCTTCAAGTTCAATTGGAACTTATAGTTTTAGATTAGATTTTATGAAAAATTATACTTTTTAGACTCCTCCTGGCTTTTTTTTGAATCACGCAAGATACTCCCACCAGTATCGGCTTCGAGTCTTTTCCCTCTCCTCAGGCTGTGTCAGAGGAGAGTACTTTCTAGTTTCTTGATTCTGTCGCTGAGTTTCTTGTTTGGCTTTGCTTTGGGCTTCATCTGAATAATAGGCTAAAGAATTACATAATAGTACTAAACCTTCTTCGAAACCACTCGTAAACCATCGTTCATAGTGAAAGTTGTGGTCTTCAGGAAATTTATCTTCGGTATCTTCTTCTTGACCTTCGGATTCCTCGATTTCTTCTTTATTTTCAAGAAAATACAATTGCTTCCAATAGGAATTGGAGAGCATACTTGAGTCCGGAAGTTCTTACTCTGAGTTTTAGATATTTTGCTATAAGAATAACCTAAAAAGCCAGTACCTTTCTTGTGAGTGCTTTCTGCTGTTAACAGATGGACCTTTTCTTTTATGAAGGCGCTTCAATGATCTAGGCTGCTACAGAATTAATTATCAGACCTGCTTACATCTTTAACTGTCTTCTTAAAAATAATCTTCTTGCTGATCTTGAAGGTACTAGTGAGTGATAAATTGTTCATCTGGCTACTAAAGTTCGCAAAAGGCTTACTTCCTAGACCTATTTGTGAAAAGTTCGTTATCAACTTTTCTTCTGCTTCTGGATCTTTCCTGAGAAAGATGAATTTAGCTTTGTTTTATTCTAAACCCTAGTGAGAGGAGGAAGATGAAGCCTTACTCTTTTTCAAACCTTTTGGGATCATGTTGAGGTTGAACACCAATTTTGAGGTCTTAATTGTGTCCATTTTGGAGTTATTAGATGCTAGTTTCGGTACAGCTTTGAAGAAATCAGGAATTGAATGTTCTACTACCTGCTTTATTGACTCTTCGTCCTGAATCAAATCCTGTTTTAGAAGTTCTGGTTCAGGAGTGTGAAGTTGTCGATTTTTCTCACTATTTCTTGGAATTGTGGGTTCCTCTTCTTGCTCTAAGAGATCAGGCTTGAGTTGTTTCTCTTCCTCTATAGTTCCTTCTAGTTTCTCCTTCAAATGATGCTTAATGTAACTCTTAGTGATATGTTTTACTAGGGGAGAATTTGGTGGCATAAAAGTTGATCAAATATGCAAAGCTTTAGCATGCCAGATTTCAGAGTCTTTCTTTCCATATTTATCAGGATCTATCTTACTATTCAGGAAGCGATATTCAGTTCCAACGCAAAAATACGCAACAGTGACGTAAACAATCTTTTCTAAAATTATATCCTTATTCAGTTCCTGATTTGTCTTCTTAACCACATTTTCTGGCTTGAAACTAAGATGCATTTGGTCAAAATCTACAGGCTGGAGATGCATAATATTGCCTATATTCAGGTTGTAAATCCACCCTTGAGGACTCTTAACGCCGAGAAGATTCCGTTCATTAATCTTAAAAGTCTTGTCAGCTTTGATTTTATTAATATCTTCCTCGCTAGTAAATGAAATCTTTGCTTTTCTCTTGGCTCCGACTCGGTCTGTAAAATAAGCTAGCCTCTTTTCTTTGCTCATTTCGATAATTTTTGAAAATTCTTTGATTATTTTGGTGACCTCTTGGAGCATAGGAAGGTTGTAGCTTTTGGTATCATCAATTTTGACCTTTTCCTCGACATACATTGCAGCAGAATTACTCCTACGGCTCTGTACTGACTTTTGGCTATAGGTGTCAAAAGAGTATTCTGATCCATCACGACTCCGGTTCTGAAGAGTCTTCATGTTGAAATTATGCAACCCTTCTATTGAACTATTGTTCTTCATGTGTAGGACAGAGTTGGTAGATGAAGCACTAGACTCACTATTTCCTCTCAACCGTTTGGAGTCCTCTGATTGAGTCGAAGATCTTGAGTTGAAGAAATTTTGACATATAGTGTTGTTTCTAAGGGTTTTATTAAGACTGAGTAAATTCCCTTCTGACTTATTCAAAAATACTAACTTAGTCTTCTTCTTTGCCTTATACCTAATTTTAAGATTATTTTGAACCTTTAGAAGCAGCTGAAATCCCATATCATTTCGAAGAATTTGAACTATTTTTATTTTGAGAAGCTATTGACCCGTATTCACTGTTCATAACTTTTTCCTTGAATCTTTTGTTAAGAGTTTCAAGGTCTTTTCAGCTTTTCTTCCTACTAGCCCGTTTAGAGATCTTCTGAAGTCTCTTATTTACACAATCTCTCAGTTAGAAATAATTGTTTTATTGTCAGTAGAGTGCAGCTTCTTTACTCTTTTGTAACGCTTCCTCATGGAGACTCAATTGGCTCAATACAGCTCAATATTGTAAGGTGTACTTTGAAAGAAAACGCAGAATTACTAGTGCCGAGTTAATCTCATTCGAAGTTTTTGGAATATAATTTTTGCCAAACTCACTAAAAATTAGTTGTAATCATTACCTGTTATCTTTGCCTTGTTGAAGATTTACATCAACTGTTTTCTGGTTAAATTTAAATATATCCAGCTTTTTCATTCATTGAAGGGTCTTGTCAAGGAAAAGTCTGCAATCTTCGAGACTCGATCATTTTTGATAAACCACAGCCATGTTGTAGAAGATTGTTCAAATATAAGAGTAATCAAAAGCCATTTGCTTTTTTATAGGTTCTTTTTCCAGTAAACTCTGAATTTTTGGAATCGCTTCTATTGCCTGTAGCAAGCTCTCTCCTGCTTCTTCTAACAAATCTTTCTCCATACACTCAATGGCAGTATCATTTAGGTCAGCAAGGATTGAAACACCATGGGAAATTGAGGAAATATGATCTATAGAAGGTATGTAATCTTCTTCATTCGAGCTTTCCATTAGATTATCAAATCATTCTTCAACTAGCATATTGGAATTCATAAAATATTATATTTCAACATGACTTGGGAAGTTAGGGGTTTTGGGGTTTTGGGGTTTTGGGGTTTTGGGG